AATCAGTTTAAGTGAAAGACATGGATTTGAAACCAATTCTATCACTAACTGACTCTATGTGATTGACCTCAATGTGTTCCTTAACTTCTCTGTCCCTCTGCTTCCTCACCTGTAAAGTAGAACTATCTAGTCCAGGGCTGCTATGAAGAAAAAATGAAATGATTCAGTACATACAAAGTGTACGGTACCTTTGACACATAGAAATCAATAACCAAGGACTTTCCTGGTGGTCCAGTGACTGAGAACCTGCCCTGAAATGCAGGGGGACGTGGCTTTCACCGCTGGTTGGGACACTAACATCCTACATGCTGTGCGGCAACTAAGTCTGCGTACTGCAACTCCCGAAGCCACGGGCTCCAGAGCCTGCATGCCACAACTAGACAGTGTCCAGGCACCCCAAGAAAAGATTTCACATGACTAAAAAGATTCTGCATGCCACAATTAAGACCCGACAAAGCCTAATTAATTAAAATAAATCAATAAATCACAACTGTTTTACTAATATTAATTCTCATTATGTCTTCACAGTCTTTGTATACATGTATCAGTACTCATCCGAAGTATACTGGGATTCTTGTCACCAACAAATGATACTTATTTATCATAATCCAAATCAATATCTTTAAATTTTAAACATAGGCCCTTCATGCTTATTATATAGATAGTAATATAAGCTGACCAGAAACATATTCATTCTGAAAAACCTGAGTCAATCCAAAAAACAGAGAAACCAGAAAGAACTGAGTATGCCTGATGCCTACTCCCAATCTCATAACCACAAAGGGAAGGGAAAATATTGTTCCCATTCTTGCTCCCTCTGGTGAAGTGCAAATTTCCACCCTTAGGGCTTCCCTGGTGGCTCAGAGGTTAAAGGGTCTGCCTGCAATGCAGGAGACCTGAGTTCGATCCCTGGGTCAGGAGGATCCCGTGGAGAAGGAAACGGCAACCCACTCCAGTATTCTTGCCTGGAGAATCCCATGGACCGTGGAGCCTGGTAGGCTATAGTCCATAGGGTCACAAAGAGTTGGACACGACTAAGCGACTTCACTTTCACTTTTTCACTTTATGGAAATATTAGGAAGGGAAAGTAACTCCCACCCCAAAGGAGGACATTGTTCTAGATGCTAGGGGAATGAAAAGTGTGATATATGAGCCTTGCCCTCAAATTTGGGGACATTATGTCCCCTGCCACACTGGCTCACAGTCTAGCCAGACTAGGGTTGATGTGAGGTACCCATCCATAAAGGATTCAATAGTGATATCAAGAAAACAATCTGAATACGTCTGGAATTCAGAGTAGAGTCCATGTTGGTAAAAAAGGGTTAGTAGTTTTTAAAATGCTTTTTAAAGCTATTAAAAAAAAAAAGAGGTTGTCAGGAAAAAGAAACCCTAGTGCAAGAGAACAGAATAGCAGGGAGTGATTATATATGGCTGTGGGGTGCAGGGGGGGAACCTGTGAAAAAGCCTTAGAAGATAAAAAGGGAGTTCTGAGCTTAACCAAGACGTTTTTCATTTCCCATCCACGTGAAGATCTTTCCACCTAATGAAAGGTGCTAAATCTTTTTCTCCTGGCAGATGACATCCACATGAATAACTTCCAAGGGCGTATCTAAACTTTGACAAATCTCTCTAAATATTGCTAAGAAGTAAATACCATATTACTGGGAGGAGAAAGGAAACAGGGTTAGGACAGAGAGAGCACACAAATTTATAAAGGCATGACTAAGTCTGTTAGTAACTGTTAATAATACATCATTAGTGCTAAGAACAGTAGCATAAATTAGATAAACTTTTGGTTATGCAAAATTGCCGAAACATTTATTCAAACACTTTTGTCTCCCATGCAGGAAAGCAATCAGAACTTAAGTCAGAAAGACGTTAAAGGATAATCTGCAATCCACTCAAAGTCTGTAATAGTTAATCAGGTTAAGTCTAAAAACTTCATTTGAGAAATGCTGTACTCAAAGCACCTTCCCCCCCGCCCCGAATTTTTAAATTTATTTCAAAGTTAAACCCAAGACATACTGATTTCTCGTCTAGGCTGACCACCTGCTTATCCTTAGTCTTCCCCAACAGAGAATATGCATGCTAACTACTTTCACTCTACCGTCACCGCTGTCCCATCACTATACCAGCATCACCTGAATTGTGTGTGTGGTATTCTGAATGTTCTTAGTTATTTCACTAACTGCAAAAGATTTTCTGGGTTAACCTGTCACTTGAATTTTCTGGCTACTTTTGAAGATGAAGTCCAAAGAACTCTTAAATGATTCTCCAGTGGGGGGTGGGGGGAGATGTTATTTCATAGTATAGGTATTAGCAACGGAGCACCTGTGGCTAAGCTGATCCCATCTGCCATCACTAGAAGACAACCTGTAAAACCAAAACAATCATTTGAAGCAACTGCCAACTAAGTGACCCAAAACTGAAGGTTTAATTTAAAGAAAAACCTGGAGGGAAAAAGCAATCCCAGAGGAACTCATTCTAAGCAATCCATCATTATGCCTCTGTGTGTGTGTGTCTGTGTGTGTGGAAGGCACAACCAGATCCATTCAGTGAAAGCACCTTTTTTCAATTTATCCTTTCTAAAACCACCTGCTCCCTTCCATTGGGTTATCTGTACTGCGTGCCTGGGTGCTGTCACTTCAATCATGTCCGACTCTGTGAGACCCTATGGACTGTAGACCTCCAGGCTCCTCTGTCCATGGGGCTCTCCAGGCACGAATACTGGAGTGGGTTGCCAAGCCCTCCTCCAGGGGATCTTCCCAACACAGGGATCAAACCCTTGTCTCTTAGGTCTCCTGCACTGGTAGGAGGGATTCTTTACCACTAGCACCACGTGCAAAGGAGACTCAAAATTTCATCCCTGGGGAGCACTTCAGCATACACTTAACCATCAGAAAGTCAGTGCACTCCTAGCAAGAAGAAATATGCAGAAAAGAAAGCAATATTTTACGGGTTACCATAGGATTCCTTTTTGCTTATGAACATGAAAAGCCATTCTTTCATATAAAGTTGAACCCTGTTTGAGGATAATTGGCTTTTTACAAACTCATATTGGTTACTATTCAGTTCAGTTCAGTCGCTCAATCGTGTCCGACTCTTTGCGACCCCATGAATCGCAGCACGCCAGGCCTCCCTGTCTATCACCAACTCCCGGAGTTTACTCAAACCCATGTCCATCGAGTTGGTGATGCCATCCAACCATCTCATCCTCTGTCGTCCCCTTCTCCTCCTGCCCTCAATCCCTCCCAGCATCAGGGCTTTTTCCAATGAGCCAACTTCGCATGAGGTGGCCAAAGTACTGGAGTTTCAGCTTCAGCATCAGTCCTTCCACTGAACACCCAGGACTGATCTCCTTTAGGATGGACTGGTTGGATCTCCTTGCAGTCCAAGGGACTCTCAAGAGTCTTTTCCAACACCATAGTTCAAAAGCATCAATTTTTCGGCACTCAGCTTTCTTTATAGTCCAACTCTCACATCCATACATGACCACTGGAAAAACCATAGGTTACTATTTGACTCCTGCATTTCCAGAGGTGTTTGGAATCGAGGTAGTGGCTTACTATAGAAATTAGTCTTCCCAGAAACCCAAGCTAAACTTCATCCTATAATCTTGAAACCCAGACTCTCTCAAAGAATGAATCCCAGTGCTAAGTTATTGCAAACGTGATTCCAATCGCAGGAATCAAGGCAATTAGAAACAACAGGTTCAAGCTCAAGGAAAACTGGATAATAATAGCGCCGACCTCACAGGGCTGTGGGAATCCAATTTTACTTGCAAAGCAAAGCACTGAGAAACAGCGCTGGGACACAACACTCAATAAACGTTAACCATTAACCCCGATTAAAGGAAAGGTGCTTCGGCAGGCACAGGCGAGCAGCGGAGAGCGGCTGATGGTGAGGGCAGGCACGAGAACCGAGGCGCAGCTGGTCTCCGGGTGCCGGCGCCGTGGGTGGCAGTCTCCTTGGGAAGCGTCAACGCGTTGTCAGGCAACCGGATCTCAACAGCACCCGCGGCGGCGGCGGTGGTAGCTGCGGCTCGGAGTCCAGACCGCGTAACCAAGGCACCGCCCCGGGCAGGTCTGGCGACGGCGAGACCCTCAGTCACAGGGCACCCCGGGCACAGAGCACCGCCCCCAGCCACACTGCAGCGAGACCCCAGAGTGGTCCGGGATCCCCGGGCCCGCAGCTGCTAGCCTCCAACCCCAGCCCGGCGGCCACGAGACCCCAGTACGCAGGGAACCCCACCCCAACCCAGGTAACCCCAGGACCTTGGCCAGCCTGGTCCTGGCGAGACCTCCGCGAGACCTCCGCCCCCCACGAGGCCCTCAGCCGCGAACCCAGCCCCGGGACGCCCTCCAAGCCCGGCCACACCCCGACAGGCCCGCTGCTGCTAGCCTCCAACCCCAGCCCGGCGGCCACGAGACCCCAGTACGCAGGGAACCCCACCCCAACCCAGGTAACGCCAGGACCTTGGCCAGCCTTCCCGGGACGCCCTCCAAGCCCGGCCACACCCCGACAGGCCCGCTCCCCACCGCGGCCGACGGACGCTTACTCAGGCAAGCGGGCTGGCGTCGGGGAACAGCACAGCGTTCTAGCGAGGCTCTTCACGGCGGTCCGAAGTGACGGCGGTCGCCCAGCGCGGGAACGGTGTGACAACCCGCCCCGGCTCCGCCTCTCGGGCCGAGCCCTCCGCCCTCCCTTCGCCAACGGCCGGGCGTGGCCCCTCCCCATCAAGGCCGCGGGGCAGAGGCTCGCGGCCCGGAGCGCCCCCTGCCGCCCCGGAGGCCGCATGGACGCCCGGCGAACCGAAGGGCTCACCCGTATCTAGGCTGTGACTCCGCCTGAGACTGTTCAACTGCGGGAGCCACTTTCCCAGGCTAAACTGATTCTACCCACTTCAAACCTTCCAAGCCCCAGCTGGCCTCTGTTCAGAGCCTGGGGGCGGTGGGCGGGGGGAGCTTGGAGGGGTCAGACGGGGGACAAGGCAGGGTTGGTAGAGAAAAACTGTTGGCACACCTCTCCGGGCACTACTGCTCCCTCAGGAGTCTGGTCAACATTTTGTCTTTATTACTACAACATAGGCTTTATTACTAATTTCAAAATACTCAGTTCACCCGAATACTTAGTGGCCATATATCACCACTAGAAAAGAGATCTCTAGCTTCCCCGGCCAGTGGGGATAAGAGTCCTTTACCTGAAGTCACCTTGTATGAGGGTTTGAAATATAATGTCAAAAAAAAAAAAAGGAAGAGAAAGATAATGTCAAAACCGCAGGCGGGGCTGTGGATTTCCAAATTCCTATATATTTGTCTTAACTAAATGTCACACACCTTTCTAGGAATGGAGGATACAACTCAGAGCAGAGTGCACCCGCTTACAGTGAAAAGAAAAACTTCCAAGTAAATACATTATTTCAATGTGTAACAGTTACAGAAGCACCTACAGACATTTAGAGACGTCGTGGAAGGAAGATGACTGGAGAGAGAAAGAAGTTGAGAATGATTGCATGGTAGAGATATTTGAGCTCTGTTTTTAAATATTAATATGAGCCCCCAGTTAGAAAAGTAAGGGGAAAGCACTCCAGGCAACGCTGACCACTTAACTTATGCAGTTTCAAGGTAACTAAAAGTTGAAGTTGCAGAGGTGAAACTCCCCCCCTCCACCCCTTTATTTTTCCCAGTAATATAAACACTGAGCATCTATGGTACGTATTAGGGATAAAACAAGGAATAGAGACCCAGTCCCTGTGTTTTGGAACTTAGAATCTAGTGTGGAATGGGGGATAGGAGAAGAAAGAAGAATACCTAAAACAAGGAAATAAATGAAATAATTAAACACTGTATTAACTCTTAGATGACAACATATTCCCCCTAAATTAATTCGGCTTAGGGGACAGAACTGGTTCCACAGTGGAATGTAGATTAAACTGTAAACTGTTTCACGAAGTGGGTACTGGACACTTGCAAAACACTAATAGCTCGTATAGATGTTAATTTTTACAAACGCGCCAAAAGGCACGATCAGAGCCATTCGCGAGTTTCCACGGCCACCTTGGGACGCTAGAGAACGCCCCTCTAGGAAAGTTTAGCGCCAAACCACTACAAGTCAAAGGGCTTTACGCATGTGCAATGATTCATTGGGAAGTAAACTAGGAGGCCATGTTACCATTATCTCAAAAGCGGCATTCAGAACTACTTCTTTGTCAACTTTTCCATAAACATCTTTTTTTTTTTTTTTTGGCTTTCAACAATCTTAAAAGTACCTACACCCACGTAAAAACAGTTCTCTGCCCCACTGCAGCTTTAAGTATCTACCCATTTTTAACATGGCGGAGGCCGAGCCTGCGCAGGACGAACAAGGAAGGTCGATTCCAGTTTCTGGCATAACGTTACATGCCCTTCTTCCGGTGCAGAAGGCTATACCATTCCCTAGGTAATTACTGTTTTCGTCTTATTTCACACATATAATTTTCCAAGATAATAAGTTCTCTTTCCAGTAATGAGACGACTCCTCTGCCTCTTAATTATTGTGTAACTGCTGTGTATATAGCCGCGTCCCCCAAGGACCCCCGCCATCCCGCGGATGGTCCGTACCAACTTCACCTCCGGTGCTGGGTGTCATGGCTGCCCCGAGAGCCTAGTGTGATTTTGCACCGGTGGTGGGGTGGGTCCGGAGCCCACGCCCGAAAACCTAGCGAGGTAAAGTTGCGTCTCGATTGCGGAGGCGACAGCTTATCCGATTCCTCGGCGATGGCTGCTTCCGGGAGTGGCATGGCCCAGAAAACGTGGGAGCTAGCCAACAACATGCAGGAAGCCCAGAGTATCGATGAAATCTACAAATACGACAAGAAACAGCAGCAAGAAATCCTGGCGGCGAAGCCCTGGACTAAGGAGTGAGGAGGTCCCTGGCGAAATGCAGGGGAGGGAGGGGTGGCGGGATTTTAAGAGACCCAGGGGCAGTGGGAGTTGGGGTCAGAGAGTTTGTCTTTCCCTCTGCAGCAAGGAGAAAGAGGAATCCTCTAAGAAATTTTGTTTTACCTTTTTATCCCCGCAAATAAAACGTAAGACCCTCCACTTTTGCTTGCTTGATTCCCCCTTTCTGTCTCGTTTGCCTTGGGAGAATGGAAGAGGAAAACGACAAGCGGTAGTTTGGGTTTTCACTTCTCAGCCCCCGTATTGTTAACAGACACTCCACACTCTGCCTTGTACACTTTGTTGGGATCTTCAGCTGATTTCAGACTGGACTACAACTATCTTCAGATATTGAGTCAATCCAAGGGTCTCTAAAATAATTATGAGCCAGCTTTTTAGTTTATAATCTTTTAGATCTATAGTTGCTTTTTCATTGCTGGTAATTATTTCAGAAACAACAAAGATGCTCTACTCAGTTTCCCACAATGTTTACTCCACCATTTTTTTTTAACAGAAGCTGTAAATTATATCAATAGAACTTAAGGGGTTTTGCCCCTTAGCAAAACTCGTGTGTCCCTGGGAGTGATGACAGGTCAAGGTTTCTTTACCGCGGTATTTATCCTTTCCTGACAGCAGATATTCTATGGGAAGAGTAAAAAGATCACACAGTCTCTCTAATGGATAGACAGGAAAGCGGTGGTCAGCAACAAAAACCATATTTCATCTGTCTCACAGTTTTTTACAAGGCAAGCTTTAACTGGGTATTCAGATTCAGCAGTGTTTACTGAGTACTAACTACAGGCTGAGTTTTGAGCTAGGAATTTCCATATGTCATTAAATCTTTATAACAACACAGTACTGTATTTTTATTCCTTTTCTGCATAGATAAAAACAAGCAAATACAGTAAATAACTTACTTCATAATTACACGAAGGCAATGAATTCTTAAGTGAACAATAGTTAAGACCTAAAATCAAATCTCACAACTCTAATTAGTTGAAATTTACTTATCTTTTTTTTAATCTCTAAAGGAGAAAAAAAGACCTATCTGTTGGTGATGTTATAAAGATTAGATGAGGTCATGTATAAAAAAGGGTCTAGAATGTATGTAATAGAAGCACAATAATGGACTGTTTTTTTCCCAGTAGATAGAGGAGTGAAGATTTTAATTCATGTCTTTACTCCCAAGGACAGGTCTCTATATTTTTCAGCTGTGATTGAAATCTGTGGGCAGACATCTTAAAAAGACTTCTCAAAGACACTGACACTCTTAACAGACTGGTTATTTTGCCTGGTTGTCTGCTATTTCTATAGCAGGCTGCATACTTAGATTGATATAGCCTATTGAGTATTTTAAATTATCAGCCTCACTGTGTGACTGTATCTCCAGTTATAGTCATCCTCGCTGTCTTCCACTACATCAGTGAGACTGAGGTGTAATTTTAGTCAGCAGTAGTCTAGTCACATACACAGACGACAAACTGAAATACTGATCACGGTGAGACTGAAGAGTTTAAGGCCACATTTTCCACTTTTAGACTGATACCGTGAGAGAAGCTACAACCCTCAACACATTGTTCTCTCAGAGTACTACAAAAGATAGGTTAATAATGCAGCTAGCACTTTAAAAGTTTTGTATGTGTCAGGCACTAAGCCAAGCACTTTATGTATATTATTTTATTCATTTCCTCCAAACTACAGCTCTATGAAAACAGGCACAGACATTAAGTGGCTATCTCAAGGTTACAGCCAGGATATGGCAGTAAAAGGGTTCAAACCTAGGTAGATGGATGTCAGAGCCCACATTCTTAACTGGTAGGCCTCGAAGGTTAAGTCGGAGAATAATGAGGCAAAACTGACCAACCAGGGTCAGAAACCTAGATTTGGTGATTCCAAAATTAATGAAGAAAAAGTCTATTGAAATGGTTGTGTAATTCCCTTCTGTCTACTCGACTAGCATATTTTAAAATTATTTCATACTTTTCCCTTCCCTCAATGGGAAGTAATTTGCAGGATTATGTTTATCATTTCCATCCCCCTTCAGGAACTCTGTCCTTTTATACTTTGTTTTTCTTTCCCTCATTCTATGTATATGCTTTCTCCCCATTCCATCAGTGTAAATTGCCTCAATACTTGTTAATCTCTACAAAAACTATCTTACAGTTGTACTTAGGAAAGTTAATTACACCATGCCTTTCTTTTGTAGTCACCATTACTTTAAGTACTGCAAAATCTCAGCATTGGCTCTACTGAAAATGGTGATGCATGCCAGATCAGGAGGCAACCTGGAAGTGATGGGCTTGATGCTGGGAAAGGTGGACGGTGAGACCATGATCATCATGGACAGCTTTGCTTTGCCTGTCGAGGGCACTGAAACCCGAGTAAACGCTCAGGCCGCCGCGTATGAGTACATGGCTGCATACATAGAAAATGCTAAACAGGTAAAGATGCTGCTCCCTGAAATTTTGTAACTGCAAGTTAAGAGTCTCATAGTTATTTTTGAGTTTCTAAACTTAAAACTATTCTCCAACATTAGAGTTTATATTTTAAGTTATTCTCAACTATATGTAACAGATTAGCATGGATTTTTTTAAATTCTCGAGAGAGTAGATCTTAAAAGGTCTCATCACAAGAAAAGAAAAATTTGTAACTGCGTGTGGTATTGGATGTTAACTGTAGTTATTGTGATCATTTCACAGTATATACATATATTGAATCATTATGTGTGTTTAAAACCAAAAAATTGAAAACAACCTAAATGTAACTGAATATCAAGCTGATTAAATAAATTATATCCCACACAATGAACTGCCAGCCAGCCTTTAAAACAAATTAAAAGGTAGCTATTTATATGAAACAAATCCCAGAATATTTTGTTGAGTGAAAAAGCAAAGTGTAGAATACTGTTGGTGGTATGCCATTGTGTGTTTTTATTAATCTACATATATGCAAAGAATATATTCTATATGAAAGAATAACTCTGGAAGACAGGTGTGTAAGCCTATGACAGTTAACATCTGGGCTGAGAAACTAGTTGAGGGGAAAGAGGTGGGAAGGAGACTGGATGACCTTATTGTACATGTAGCTTAGTAATTTTGTGCCTTGAGCATGTATTATCTAAAAATTTTTTAAAGCAGCATATGCTATAACTATTCTGCATACTGTTATTTAACTATAGGGCTGTATAAATAGACAAAATCTCTAAGATTAAACAGGAACCTCAAGCTCCTTTGCTCTCTTCATTTGTTAGGTTGGCCGCCTTGAAAATGCAATTGGCTGGTATCATAGCCACCCTGGCTATGGCTGCTGGCTTTCTGGAATTGATGTTAGTACTCAGATGCTCAATCAGCAGTTCCAGGAACCATTTGTAGCAGTGGTAGTAAGTATTTTTAGAACCAGTTGTAATTAATTTTCATGAAGATTTACTAAAGCAGGTATACAGGGAAATAAAAACAGTATGGTAAAGAGCACGGCTCCGGTGCCAGCCTAGGTTTGAATCTAAATTCCACTTCTTTGTAGCTGGGACTCTGAACAAGTTATGTAACTTCTCTGCATCTTTTCCCACCCTCTGTTAGATGAGAATGTACACAGCACCTGTGTCTCAGTTCCCTGCACACAGTGGGCATTTGGTCGATGTTGAGTGAATTGATTAAATCAGGAATTGCCAGAACAGCTCTTGCTATGCTTAAAGTATTTTAGATGTAATTCAGGTTACTCTAAGGAACGTATAAATTATTCATCTGTTAAAAAAAAAAAAAGACTTCTGAAAAAGAGATGAGCAAATCTTTAATTAATACTCTTAAATAGTATAGTAACTAGATCTAATCTCTAAATTAATGATGAGATTTCTATATTCTGTTGAACTTCTATGATTTTCCAATTTGGTTATTTTTTTCCCTATTGGTTATTTTTAATTATGTGTGTGTGCCTATAGTGTTATATGTACATATGTATTTCTAGACTTTTAGTGTTTAAACAAATAAGTCAGCAGATATTAAATATATCTTTCTTGTAGATTGACCCAACAAGAACAATATCTGCAGGGAAAGTGAATCTTGGAGCCTTCAGGACATACCCAAAGGTAATTTGAAAAATTCCAAGTTCTTATAGTTTTTCAATTTTTAAATATTTGGTTTATTTTTAAAGATGTATTATAGTTAGTATCTCATTTTGTCCTAAAACAATTTAACAGTATTTACAAAATAGAAGCCCAACTACCACAGATTGTCTTTAGCAAAAAGGTAATACATTTGTGCTGCATGTTGTTAATTCCACTAGAAAAGCAGTGTTCTTTTGTTAATAAGGATTTGTGTGTCATGGCCATCTACTATCTACTGCAATCTGAAATAGATATGAGCACAAGTGAATATCACCTAAGGACAAGAAAAATTAATCTATAAGCCAAATCTAGCCTTCAGCCACCAAATAGGGTTGAGGAAGAGTATAAACAATATACTTTTCTTTTATTAGGCATTTATGTTCAGTAATTGGCTCCCCCAAGTGAATGTTTCTATAAACAGAAAGTCACATAGAAAACATATGTTTTTCCTCTTTTGTGTTTAAGTCTTCTATTTTCTTCATTTCTGTTCAGGGCTACAAGCCTCCGGATGAAGGACCTTCTGAGTACCAGACCATCCCACTTAATAAAATAGAAGACTTTGGTGTACACTGCAAACAGTAAGTCATTTAAAAATGTATCTGATGCCAGAATCATCGTAAGAAACCTCAGAGATCATCCAGACCAAGCCCCTAATTTTATAGATGAGAAAAAAATTCAGATGAAATGATTTCATAATATCTTTTAAAATAATAGAATATATTTAGGATAATGTTTGAATCTTTATTAACAATTGTTTTAATCTAACATGTTATTTGCCTTTCTCCCATCTATATACGTTTTATCAATGTATGAGATACTTGACCTGTTAATGAAAGTAAAAGTTGAAGGAAGCTGTATGCAGGGCCAGCCTGACGCTAGCAATTTCTACAGCCCTCAATGTACCCAGTTTCCACATAGAAAATTTCTCCCTACACATTTTTACTCCAAGAGTTAAAGAAGTATACAAAAAACTACTTAATTGTATACTCCTTTAAAACAGTGAATTTCATGCTATGTGAATTACATCTCAATTTTTTAAATTGGTAAACCAGTGAAGACAATTTTCTCCACCTTCTAAATATATCACCTCTCTTACTATCACCTTGACCCAGGCCACAGCCATCTGGAGCTTAAATCAGAGCACTAGCCTTCTAGCTAGTCTTCTTGCTTCTGCACTTCACCCCACCCCTTAAAGGTCTTTTGTCAGCCAAACAGATTCTGTTAAAATGTAAGTCTAATCATGTTCGTCCTTCCCAGAGTAATCTCCTGTCTCATCAAGAATAAGATCTATAGTGCTTACCATGGACCACACAACCCTATGTAGACTGGCCCCTGCAATCATTCTGAGCTCATCTCAGTGACTCTGCTTCTTGTCACTAAGCCTTTGCTGTGTCTATTCTAGCCATAGTGGCCTCATTATGGTTTATCAGATGTACTAGGCCGGTTCCTGCCTTGGGGCCTTTGCACTTGCTAATCCTCTGCCTGGAACATTCTTCCTTATTTCTATGTGACTCACTATTTCAGTCGCGAGTGTCTGTTTAAGGGTCACCCTATTTCAGTTAGCATTTTCTAGTCATTCTTACCTTTCCCGGCTTCATTCTTCTTCTTAGCACTTGTGACTATCTGATATGTTTTTGCTTCCTTGTTATTGACCTCATTAGAATGTGAACTTCATGCTATATCCTAACAATTAAAATAGGGCATGGTACATAGAAGTGTGGCCATCCCCCTAAAAATAAAAAAAAAAGTTTTGCCTAACTGATTACTGCTGTCCCTTCTCTACACCTCCTACCCTAACTTCTGGGAATACTTTACTACTCGTGCGCTACCACTGCTCTTATTTTTCTGTTCAGAATTCCTAGAAAATACCCGAATTTCTAGAATTTAATTTTTAAATATGTCTGGTTTTCAGTCATCCTTGGCATAGTTCTGGAAAAAAAAGATTCTTATTTTTCAATGAGAGGTTTGTAATTAAATCACTTAATGTGCTCTATTGAAAAGAATTTAAGCCATTCCTGTTTGAGAGAATTGCTCCTAAGCATGAGGACACCTTTGCTGTAATACTTTCACTCTCAGAGTTAACAGTCAATTTTTTTCATTTATATTGAGTTGCAATTTCAAAAATTTATACCTTTAATACCTACTCTACTTCTCTCATCACCAGCAGCAGCTTTTGAAACAAAAAAAGACTATGAGGCATACTGTGCTTTCTGTTCCCAAACAAACCTGCATTTCCTGGTTTTTTCTGAGACATGAGCCTGTCTAAGAGGAGTTGCTGCTTTCTAACTACCTGCATTGCTAGAGCCTAGAATTTTGAACCTGGAATAAGCAGGATGTTCAAAGATACTCTCTTACTTAGGACCAGTTCCTAAATAAAGAGTAAACTTTTTTAATAGGGCAAATAAGTTGCTTATTTTTATTTCAAATCTTCAATGAAACATAGTGCCAACTTAAGAGCAGACTCATTATAGATCATTTCCTAAATCATTTGACAATGAACTATAATTTGTAGTTTACACTGATATTTTTTCTTTCCTACTTTAAATTCTAGATCATAATCCAAAGTTCGTTTTCAACATAGAATCTAATACAGATATTAAATATATTTAACTTTGAAGAGCCTTAGTAAAAATAGGACACAACGGGTTTTTAAAATTAGCTTGTATGTTATCAATGTTATACAAGCACATAGTTTAAAGGATCAACTGGTTCTATGAAAGTACCATTCCCTTTCCCCTACCCCCAGAGGGAATCACTTTAACTATTATAGTTATACTTCGTTTAAGTATTTACCCCATTAACATCAAACAGCATGCTGATAGTGCTACTTCTTGATTTTCAGTTCTAGGCAGTATCTATTATTGACTTCCTGTACAGAAGATGAGGATTTAGCTCCACGAGTAATTTTGAATATTCTTCTTGCTTTCAACTCTGCTACTGAGATTTGCAGCTAATATTAGACCAAAAAATTTCATTGCATCAGCCTACGGAATTAAGACAGTAATAACATTAAGGTGATCCATAAATTTTAAAACATAACAGTCTATTCTAGACCCTCCAGTTTGAGCTCCCTTCTTTTCCATCCTTTATAATCTACATCTTTTGCTCTACTCATCCTCTTTTTCCCCTAAAGTGTCAGAGGTACAACCTGTCATTTCTAAAACTGACCTTTCCACCTGAGCCCCTGCCTCCTCTCCCCATACCTAACTGTCTCAACTCCCGGGGCCTCACTTCTTAAACAATGTCTTAAATGTCTACACTCTGGATATAACAATAAGTTAGACCATGAGGTTTAGATAACAGACATAATATCATATCCTTTTGCTGCCACTTTCTGTGGTGTTGAACAAGTCTTTATTCTAGAGTTGTTTCTTCGGCCTAGAATGGGAATAATAAATCTGTCCTATTGTGGTTGTAGGAAAGATTAAATGAGAATATATATAAAGTGCCAGGACATAATAAGTGCTCAAGAAATACACTGTTTCCATATCCCACTTCCACATTTCACTATAGCTGTGTCCTTTTCAGCTACACATATGCAGGGGTATCTTAATCTTTATAAAGCCCTTACTTAGAATTGTCTTTAAATTCTTACTCTTTTTAAATTTCTTCACTCCTGAATTGAAAGAACACACATTTCTGTTGGGTCCCTGTGCCTTTATCTTTGACACCACTAACCTGAGAGGGAGGCCTTTTTCTCCTGACATCTGCCCCACTGCAGTGGCATCGTTTGTGGTCTCCCCGCCTCCCGTTTCTCCTCTGACACATCTTACCACAGCCGGCTTTCTCAAACACTGATATAAACGGCTATATCATTGATCTGCTCAGACACCTTCCACGAGTCCCAAGTACCTAGAAGATAATTTCTTAGCCTTTTATGTAATGTCCTCTGCCAGCCAGACCCCAACATAGCTTTCTAGGTTTCCCTCACAAAGTCCTGCTCCTGCTAAACTGTCCAGGCAGGCTGATTAACTTATTGTTCCTTTCATGACTTTCCTTTTTGTGAGTTAGGGCTCTCTGCCTTATGCTTCCTTCTTGCTTTTAACATAGCCACACTATAGACTCATGTCAGGGTTACCTGAAATCCTGCCTTTTCTCTGGGGCTTCTCAGGCTGTTCTGTCTATACTGAGAGTACTCACTATCGCTCACATTTAATTGTCCGATGATTAATTTTAAATATGCACTATAGCATCACTTACTGTTATTCAACATATATCATTATATTTATAACTTTTCATGGATTCATCCCACATGTCCCATGAAAATGGTAAGCTCCTTAAGGTGGAGAAGTCCCTTGTGTTTCTTTGTAACATAGTGACATATTTAAGTATTTATTACTTAAAAAAAAAATAAGTTTTTCAGACATTTAACCAAATTTCCCTTGCTATCCCTGATTATAAATTAGGCACCTTTAGAAGCAGCAGCAATTCTTTTATATGCTTTAATGACCAACCTTTAAGTTTTGCTTTTCCAAAAAGCAGTTGGTCCTGATATAGGGGATTAGAAAGGGAGGAATCGAGAATCTACATGTCATTTTTGGTATTTTTAAAAGCCTAACAAAAGTTATAGCTAACCTTGGAGAGAGGCAGTTCATTACTGTTGGCTGAAATTTATGAAGTCAGTGACATGGGTAAATACATGTCATTCAGAAATTTTGATTAGTTACTAATAATTTTTTGAGAATTTCTGGGCTTTACAGAGGGGAGAAATATTACACGAGAATATTTGCTTAACTGAATTGAAACCACCCCCCTGAAGAGTAAGGAAACCAGGTTTACCCCTTATTCTGTTGGACTAAAAATTAAAGCATGACTATTTGGATATAAAATGTAATTAACTTAAATCTGGCCATAACCTTTATGTGATGTGGTTGAATGTTTTTTACTTACTAGATTTGTGGTTTTGTTTCATAGATACTATGCCTTAGAAGTCTCATATTTCAAATCCTCTTTGGATCGGAAATTGCTTGAACTTTTGTGGAATAAATACTGGGTGAATACGCTGAGTTCCTCTAGCTTGCTTACAGTAAGTACTATGCTTGCAAGGAATGTGTCTGAATTTTATCAATCTACACAGTTTGTTTAATATCTGAAACTCTTTTTCATGGAAAGACTGACTTTGCCAAGATGGTAGGCTTGGGAGCAGATTCTGCATGACCAGAGGTGGATTGGAATATCAGGCCAAGCCAGGATCTGTACTGTGTACTATTGAGACGAGATGAGGGTGAGACTACCTCTGACTTAGTTAGAGAAAAATGCCAGTAGTGTTCTTTGTTGTGTGTCTTCAGGTAGGACTCTAGTTACAAGTGACAGGAGACCCAACCAACCTGGCTTGTTTAAAACAATAAAGAGAATCATGTAAGCTGCAAAGTCCAGGAGTACCAGGAGTAGGGCTGACTTCGGAGTACCAGGAGTAGGGCTGACTTCAGGCACAGCCTGAGTTTGCATTCAGACAATATTATGAGGTCTTGGTCTTCCTTTCTTAGCTTTGATTTCAGGTCAGTTGGTTTCAGTTTCAGACTTCATGTGAAATCAAGATGGCAGTATTAGCTTAGACCTCTCAATTCCACATTCAAAAGAAACACACACACACACACACATACACACACACCACTCAGCTTAGACCTCCCAATTCCACATTCAAAAGAAACACACACACACACACACACACACACACACCACTTAGCTTAGACCTCCCAATTCCACATTCAAAAGAAATACACACACACACACACCCCACTCAACATATTCCCAGGCAAAGCCTCACACACACACACACACACACACACACTCAACATATTCCCAGGCAAAGCCACACACACACACACACACTCTCAACATATTCCCAGGCAAAGCCCCACACACACACACACACACACACACACTCAACATATTCCCAGGCAAAGCCACACACACACACACACACTCACTCAACATATTCCCAGGCAAAGCCACACACACACACACACACACACAGACACACCCCACTCAACATATTCCCAGGCAAAGCCTCACTGTGTGTCTGAGTTTTGTAGGTCACATGCCTATCCTTAAACCTGCTCTGGGCCAAGGGAATGAACTCCATGAATGGTTGGGCCAAGGCAAGTGCTTTACTGCTGGACTGGAGTAGAAGAAACTCTCTGGAGCACTTGAACTAAGAATGTCCCCAAAAGAAATCAGAATATCACTACCTTATAGCAAGTAGATTGCTGCTACCACCAAAAAAGAAAAAAGAAAAAGTCAATATATTCCAATATATCATTAAAATCTAATACCTAGAAGAGGATAGAAACTTCTACCTACATCTTAATTAAGAAACAGTTCTATCTTTTTTTTCAAGTAAGCCACTTCATATAGTACAGTATAGCATAGTGGTTAGAACCACAAAATTTGGAATAAGATAAACTCAGTTCAGAAACAAGTCTGCCATTTGCTAGCTGTGTGTGACCTTCACAGCATTATTTAATGTGTCTGAGCCTTTCTTGGGCCCAATGATAATAATACCTACATTGTTAAGTACACTGAGAATTATATGAAATATATATATAGTAATTAGCAAAGTACTAGGCATATAATAAAGCCTCAATAAATTATTTTTTGCTCATTTGATTCATTGTACTCATGGCTAAAAACCTCACTTGAACATATTTACTGTGAATTTACTATATTTTTTTTCTTATTTCTTATCCTCAACAGTCAAAAATAGTAAATTAGAAAGGAGAGTGATCATAATAGCAAACATTTATTGAATGTTTTCTATGTACCTAGCACTGCTAAATGCCTCATGCTTCCTTAGAGGCAAGTCTGCTGATAGCAGCCAGAAGTGACACATGATGGCATGGGCAGGAAGCAGTAAGACTGGAGCTGTCTAAACCTTTGTACAAAAGCAGCCAGCTCTACTTACTCAGCCTGTGGCTGCCCCTGTGTTCTAGCACTGCATACACTGAGGACATTAATAATCCAGAAAAGGTTAAATTATATTTCCTCCTTTTTTGGTGTAGTTTAATACCTAGTACATTACAGCATTCTAAGAAAAAAATATGTAAATAAATGTATGTCATCTCTTTCCCTTCACAGCTAAAGCAAGTAATCTAAAAGCTACCAGAAAAAAGTTAGTTTTGATTTAGTTTTTTCTGTTTGAAATGTAATTGGTTTCTTTTTTCATTTTAATAGTATAACTGTTTCTGCCATCCCACATTTTTAAATCTGCAGTTAAATCTTCTAGATGTGAAGTGATCTAAAAACATTAGGGTTTTTTTCCAAATCTGCTGGGGAAGGATGTATTGGTGACCTAAACCATTTAGATCCAGACAAAGTGAATATAGTTGCATGTTTAAAAAATTATCATAAGTTTGTAAAATCACTGGAAAGCTGGTAGCATTTTAAAGGGCTCTTTGTAGTAACTATGATGACAGCAAATGTTTTTAAAATGTCTTGTGACTGAACTATTACTGCCTTTACAGTATCTTACAGACTGAGCAAATAGAATAACATAAAGATATTCCAGTAGAAACTTTTAAAAAATATTACACTTAAGTGTACATATGTAATTATTAAACTTTTGGTTTTTAAAATTATGAAATATCAGCAGTATATAGAATATTTCACTTTACCAAATGTCTGTGTGCATGTGCCAACTCTTTGTGACCCTGTGGACTATACATAGCCCACCAGGCTCCTCTGTCCATGGGATTCTGCAGGCAAGAATACTGGAGTGAGTTGCCATGCCCTCCTCCAGGGGACCTTCCCAATCCAGGGATCAAACCCACGTTTCTTATGTCTCCTATATTGGCAGGCGAGTTCTTTACCAGTAGCACCTCCTGGGAAGCTCATGTGAGTATATAGCAATACTCTAAAAAAAAATTGTGGTTATAGCTAGGTGGAGGGGATGGTAGGTATTTTCTTTTACATACACACACACACACACACACACATATATACACACACACACATATATATATATACTGCTCTACATTTTCCAGATTTTCTGTATAACGATTAATTTTGTAATTAGAAAAGCTAAAACAAATATAATTTTTTAAATGTTGTCATAAGTACTAATTCTGGAAGCTCAACATGAAAAAGTAACAAAATTAGAAATTAGGTTTTTGCTAGGTGTCATCAACAGTCCTACAAGCTTTGTATACATCACTCGCAATAGCTTTAAGGTGTCATCAACAGTCCTACAAGCTTTGTATACATCACTCACAATAGCTTTAAGGTATAAATTATCACCCTCCTCCCCCATTTTCACAGGAAGACTGGAAGGCATAGAAAAGTAAAGGACCTCTCCCAAGGCCTCCTAGCTAATCTGCAGGAGGACCACAATCTAGACTCAAATCTCTGTACTTCAAAGCCTCTTATAATAACAAATTATTAGATTTAAGCAGTCGAAAAAGACAATTCCAAATTTAATCTTTAAACTATAAAAGAGGAAAATTTCTACACTTCAACTGCTTGAGCTTTGGAATCAGTTTTTGCAAGTATAATTTGACTTCTTACTTCACTGACTATCCACTTAGATTTCATAGTAGAATTATTTGTAAGTGAAATATTCTATATGGAAGAAAATTTACATATGTATATTTCTTTACGTGATAGACTAGTATTATATATTGATACAATATCATTTTCCCCATAGAATGCAGACTATACCACCGGTCAGGTCTTTGATTTGTCTGAAAAATTAGAACAGTCAGAAGCCCAGCTGGGACGAGGAAGTTTCATGTTGGGTTTAGAAACACATGACCGAAAGTCAGAAGACAAACTTGCCAAAGCTACGCGAGACAGGTGAGAGCAAATCTATTCCTACCCCTAACTTTTTCTTTTCTCAAGATTTGTAAATAACAGGATTCAAATTGCTTACAGTTCAACCTGTAACTTACAGTGGTACCTAAATGTTAACTTACTTGGATCTTTAAGGTTGTCAGATGCAGGTTTTAACTTTGAAAATTTAGGAGACAGTAAGTAAGAATATTAAAGGCTTATGGGTCTAGGTGATGTTGTGAAAAACTCCCTTTCACCTTTTCCAGCTTCAGCCATAAAGTATAAGAAAGAAGACCAGTCCATTGCTGGGTCTTTAAACAAAAACCAAAGCAAAACTTTGCAAAAAGATATCCTAATCTATTCTAATCCTTTTGTGAAGGATTAAATTAGGATTTCTTAAGTTTATCAAATTTCAAATTGTTATAAAGTTTTAAGCCCTAAATATCAGAGAAATGATTGTTATCTCTCAAATTATTTTTCTGAAATAATCCTTTATGCAGTAATTTAGTATCTCAAATCTCAGTAAAGAATTTATTAAGAACAAACTTGAGATAACATGTGAAATAATTACATGATCCTTCAGATGCATACAGAATTGGGAAGACTAATATTCACTTTCACAAAAATTTGAATTTTAATATGACGGGTAGAGAGGAAAGGAAGACTATGTTGACATCTATATAAATCACTATCTTGGTATCCATTTTGAGAAGAACTGAACTAGTTGATAGGAAAGAAAAGAGAGATGGAAGGCTGAAATGTGTTGGAATAGAAGCTATCTTGGGTTAGAATGACCTCATTTATTTCTTCTCTGTGAGTAATAAAAGGTATAAAGGAAGCAGCCTGGATAAAAATTACATTTTTCTTTGACATTAGGGCTTACTTTTGATACTTGCTCTGAATATGTCATTTTGCTCATCTATCTTTATATGTGTCTGATTTATAGTTTTATCTGCATTTACATCTCAGTTTCTTATGAAGCAAAAATGTCACTGTGGGAATGTAATTGTATAGGAGGAAAAGTAGGAAGGAGAAGAGTAGTAGTACAATAGTAGAGAATTTTCCTGTGGGGAGTAATTTTACAAGAATTGCATCTTTTCTGAATTTTGGTGGGTGTTTTTTTTTTAAATCAGTTCTAAAATCTAAGTCCTTCATCCACTAACCTAACTTTACCTTTGAGTTGTTTGAAGGATGTCTGTGATTATTTCAGGAGAAAAAGCATAAGGTTCATTAAAATAATTTTTAAAAACAATATCAACTAATGAACAACAAGAGAAAGCAGATTTTAGCGTAATATTGGAATCAATCTATATTTTTGAATTATAAATAACTTCAGTAACCTTCTAAAATAGAACTTTCCCCAAATAATAAAATAACTTGAATTTTATCAGCTATTTACATTGTCATTCTTTTGGGAAAATTTAATAAGTTAGGAAACAATCAAAATACATGCAGAAGGCTAAAAATCACTATGGTAAACTATAGAGAGTAAACTGTAGATTGGTATGGTATACAGTATGTTTTGCAGAGTATAAATAGGACCAGAATCATTACTAGGGGTGCAAGGATGTAATTGTGGGGGGTGTGGGGGGGTATGCAAGTTGCATGTTTGAAACAGTTCTCAGTTCTTGTGACATCATGTGATATGTTTTTTCTTTCTAGCTGTAAAACTACCATAGAAGCTATCCATGGATTGATGTCTCAGGTTATTAAGGATAAACTGTTTAATCAAATTAACATCTCTTAAACAAGCACCAAGTAGTACTTTTGCCTGAAAGCCAGTATGAGGAAAAATACTCAAGTAACACTTTAAAACCAGTTACCAAAAATCTGATTAGAAGAATAAGGTGCTCTGAAGGTGTCCTGAATATTAACATCCTATAATAAAATTCTTTAAAATGAAATTGTTCTTTTGTTGTTTTGTGGGAGGGTTTACATTATTTTTCCAGTATCCTTTAATGTTCTAAAATATGAGAGAAAGAAATATTAGAACTTTTCTGTTTTAAGAGTCTTGCCTGTTTAGATTAGTCAAAGGATTTCAGCATTTCACTTGCTGTACTTTCAGAGCCAGTTTCAGTTTGCCTAAGCCTTCTTCTTTGTCTACGGCCATACCACCACTCAGAAGCTGAGCAGGGTTGGGCCTGGTTAGTACACGGATGGGAGTCTGCCTGGGAATACGGTGTGCTGTAGGCTATTTTGGGGGCTTCCCAGGTGGTGCTAGTGGTAAAGAACCAGCCTCCCAATGCAGGAGATGTAAGTGACACAGGTTCAGTTCCTGAGTCAGGAAGGTCCCCTGTAGGAGGGCATGGCAGCCCACTCCAGTATTCTTGCTAGAGAATCCTATGGACTGAGGAGCCTGATGGGCTACGCTTCATGGGGTCACAAAGAATCAGACCCGACTGAAGTGACTTAGCATGCATGCATGCAAACCCTCTTTTGATCTGTTAGTAAAAGTACAATTTAATATAACATTTTTATGTTCCTATAAAACATTAACCAAGTCACACCATAAATTATTTTCTGGAAAGTCAAATAAGGTATTTGAGACAGATGGTAGCACAGGTATCTAAGTCATTAAAACATCCACCAAGTGCCTTTACTGAATGAGGCCCAGTTTTACTCTCTGGAGATACTCTGAACAAGGTAGACCTTGTAAGTTCTCTGAAAAATGGAGTCTAAAGCTAAGTTAACAAGAACCCAAGTATACTGCTGTGAAGGGAGAATTCAAGTGTGCTGGAAACTACGCCAAAGCCTTTGACTGTGTGGATCACAACAAATTGTGGAAAATTCTTAAAAGAGATGGGAATACCAGACCACCCTACCTGCCTTCTGAGAAATCTGTATGCAGGTCAAGAAGCAACAGTTAGAACTGGACGTGGAACAACAGACTGGTTCCAAATAGGAAAAGGAGTGTCAAGGCTGTATACTGTCACCCTGCTTATTTAACTTATATGCAGAGTACATCATGAGAAATGCTGGGCTGGATGAAGCACAAGCTGGAATCAAGATTGCTGGGAGAAGTATCAATAACCTCAGATATGCAGATGACACCACCCTTATGGCAGAAAGTGAAGAAGAACTAAACAGCCTCTTGATCAAAGTGAAAGAGGAGAGCAAAAAACTTGGCTTAAAGCTCAAGATTCAGAAAACCAAGATAATGGCATCCAGTCCCATCACTTCATGGCAAATAGATGGGGAAACAATGGCTGACTTTATTTTTCTGGGCTCCAAAATCACTACAGATGGTGATTGCAGCCATGAAATTAAAAGACACTTACTCCTTGGGAGGAAAGGTATAACCAACCTAGACAGCATATTGAAAAGCAGAGACATTACTTTGTCAACAAAGGTCCATCTTCAAGGCTATGGTTTTTCCAGTGGTCACGTATGGATGTGAGAGTTGGACTATAAAGCTGAGCGCTGAAGAATTAATGCTTTTGAACTGTGGTGTTGGAGAAGACTCTTGAGAATCCCTTGGACTGCAAGGAGATCCAACCAGTCCATCCTAAAAGAGACCAGTCCTGGGTGTTCATTGGAAGGACTGCTGTTGAAGCTGAAACTCCAATACTCTGGCCACCTGATGTGAAGAGCTGACTCACTGAAAAAGACCATGATGCTGGGAAAGATTGAAGGCAGGAGGAGAAGCAGATGACAGAGGATGAGATGGTTGGATGGCATCACCAACTCAATGGACATGAGTTTGAGCAAGCTCCGGGAGTTACTGATAGACAGGGAAGCCTGGCATGCTGCAGTCCATGGGGTCGCAAAGAGTCAGACACGACTAAGTGACTGAACCGAACTGAGGAACTCTCAGGAGGAATACTCTCCCGAAGAGGAGCTACCCCAGGGAGGTGATTACTTTTCTAAGCAAAGAGTATAACGCTATGTGGAAGGCCTGAGGCAGAGAGCAAGAATCTAGAACCATTAAGAACTGAGATTCAGTTAGACCTGAAAGTAGAGTAGTACATGGGGAGTGACAAGCGACGACTTTAGTCAGTAAGGTAAGTATAGATGCTGCGGGGGGCCTTTTGGACTTTATCCTAATAGCAATAGGGAGTTATGAGAGTTTTAAGCAACAGAAATGTATTACACTGATGTTTCTAAGAGAACTAGGTTAAGTTTTGACGAGTGCTAGATGAGATCAGATGAGATGCTTTGTGGAAATAAAAAATGAGAAGAGGGCCCAAGACATGGCAAACATCAGACATAAAATGGTTAGCGGAAGAGGAAATGTAAAATGGTTAGCGGAAGTGGAAGAGCAGAGAAGAAATCTTTAAGAAGTAATTTATGAGTGACTTCATTGTGGCCCAGAAGTCAAGGAAAACAAAGTCTTAAAGTTTTTCATTAAATTTACCAATGAAGTGGTCTTTGGTAAAATGAGGAAGCCAATTAATACTTTCTCAGTTGATAATATAGTAGCATTTTTGGTCTTGTTTTATACTCCTTTAAATAAAAGCAGGCATCCCAGTTTCAGATGGCTCAACCTGACCTTCATTTTTAGGCCCTTTTAAAATAAAGAATGACTGTCCCCAATGACTGGGGTTTCCCAGGTGGCGCTGATGGTAAAGAACCTGACTGCCAGTGCAAGAGACATAGGAGATGTGGATTCAGTCCCTGGGTCTCAGGAAGATCCCTTGGAGGAGGCCACTCCAGTGTTCTTGCCTGGAGAATCCCATGGACAGTGGAGCCTGGTGGACTACAGTCCATGGGGTCGCAAGAGTCAGATACAACTGAAGCAACCAAACACGCATGTACGCCCCCAATAAGCAGCTAAAATCTGTTTACTGCCAAAGCCTTCAGTGATGCTAACTCACACTGAGCCATTCAATTAGAAACAATAACAGTCTCTGAGGTTTCTCTGACAGACAAGATTGAAGGCTTGACAAGTTTTGACATGAAAGAGTAAGGAGTCAATGAAGTCACCATGAAAACAAACTGACAGTTTTCATTCTAAGATGTGAATACTATTATCCATATTTAATTTGACATTGGTGATCTAATCAACTGAGTCATCTTGGTGTGATAGGAAATGCCTAGCTAACAACAGAGAATTGCCAGAAAAAGAAAACTTGTCAGTCCTAACTTCACTGGATTCAGTATTTCAGCTGTGATGCCTTGGTTGCAAGTAGCAACAAAAGCAAACAAAAACAGTTGCTTGAATGGAGAGTTCATTGGTTCACCTGACTTCAGAGTCCAAAGTCAAACTTGGCTTAGGCATAGTTGGATTAGTCTTCTGGTAATGGTTCCCAAGCTCTGCCCTCCACATGCTGACCTAAGTCTCAAGCTGGATGCCTCCCAGATGGCTGCACACCACACCATCTAGTCACTGGAAAGAGCTGCTCACGGCCGTCACGATACGGTCCTGTCTTCACTCTGACTGGCTAACTAGGGTCATGAAGAGCTACCCCTGGGATTATATATAGTGACTGGGTTAGACCAATTAAGTTTATTTATATATAAGATTATTTATATACATAAATATAATTTATATAAGATTATTTATAGTGACTGGTTTAGACTAATTAAGGGCAACCCCTGCAGCTGGGAGTGGGATCAGTAATACACCAAATTCATGACTACTACACACTGAGGCTAAACGGATACCAAAGAGACAACCAACGATGTCCCCTCTGCTTTATAGTCCAGTCCACGTGACAATAGCCCCAGAAAAGAGTATTTGCATTTTATTGTAAATTAAAAAGTAAGAACCTCTATATATATTTCTGAAATAAATTTTTTAAATTTTAATGTATTGTCATGAACATTTTTTGTATAAGTGATCCAATTCATAATACTGAGATTTTAGGAAATCAAGGCTCAATTTGCAGCCATCATTATTCAGAAACTAAGTCATGAATTGGCGTTGCCTTTTCCTGCAGAGTATTATCTTATAGCCTTGAGCTATTTAGGAGTTAAAAAGGCCATTTTCTAAGTCTGGTTTTTGTTCAGCTTCAAGTTTTTTCAGAGATAATTTCTCAAGCTCTTTGGTGATAACATACAGGGAATGTCAATCATCATCAAAAATTTAATCCCAACATCCAAGTAATAAAGCCAGAGTGAGAAGCACAGGCTGGAGCAGAGATGGAGAGAGAAGTCAATGGATATGCACTGGGGATTGGGACTCATGAAGGGACAGCAAGATCCCAGAACTAAGGCTGCTCCAAATTTTCCAGATTGTTTTAATATCTCAATGTCCCAGTTCCAAACAATTCATCTCAAGGACCCAGCTCCAAACAGTTTGACAACATTAAACTTCTATATATATTGTTGAGATTTTATGCATTTAGTATTTTAGGTTACACTGTCCAGTTATAGAAGGACTTCAATCTACACATTTTATTTACCAATTAACAATAAGGCACCACACAAGTTATTCTGAAATCAACTGTACTGCCAAGAACAAACAGCCAACAGGGGCAGAGAAACCATTTGCGCTCCGCTGTTTCTGAATTTGGAAAATCAGCTCTGAAACTAAACATCACGTGCTCCATCTGAGAGATCAAGTCTGAAGACTGTTGTTACAAATTAGTATGACTACCTGGTATTCAGGGTTTTGAAAAATCACTGCATCACACAATAGAATAATAAACTGCCTTATAGTGCAGCCACTTGAAAATAAACACTGAAGAGCAGGAGCGTAAGTAACTTTACAGTGAGTCAGAGGGACTGTTTGGGTGTTGGAGAGCTGCATACTGCAGAGGTTCAGAGTTTCCAAAAAGGGTTCTGTGAGTGATGAGGTACAGATGCATAAGTCATGCATGCAGAGAAGAGTTCATTTATATTGCTAAGTCTGCACTGTATCCACATGCAGCTGACTAAAATGAACGGAACACAGAGTGTTGAGTTTCCAAAGTTTCTTTCTAAATTTCTGGATTGTTTTAACTATAAACGCCAAAGAGACACA